CCCAGGCTGACCAGGCCTCTTCTCTAAGAGCAATGAGCCCACCCCAGGCTGACCAGGCCTCTTCTCTGGAGGCAGTGAGCCCACCCCAGGCCGACCTGGTCCCTCCTCTAGAAGCAATGAACCCACCCCAGGCTGAACAGGCCCCTCCTCTAGAAGCAATGAGCCCACCCCAGGCTGACCAGGCCTCTTCTCTAAGAGCAATGAACCCACGCCAGGCCGACCTGGTCCCTCCCCAGGCTGACCAGGCCTCTTCTCTAGAGGCGGTGGGCCCACCCCAGGCTGACTTGGCCCGTCCTCTGGAAGTGAAAAGCTCGCCCTAGGAAGATCTGGCAATGTCCATGGTGAATGCACCTCTAAAACCATAGTATAACATGAACCCTAGCAACCAAGCACCCCACCTTTAATTGCTGAAGCAGGCCCCAGAACTGACACTCATAACCAACCTTCAGCCCACCCTGGAATACTGTTTTACTCTGCATTCTTTCTTATTCCCAGTGATAACTAGAATTTCAAATTTCTTTCATGGAACTCAATTCTACTTTTGGGGGGAGTCCTAGATTGTTCTCTGTGATTTATCCTGATGCTGATCCCAGGCTGGAGGTATAACCCTGGATTCCAGGTCCTCTCTTTTGCCTTGGGCCTTTCCTGACATGCTACTCTTGGGAGGGACAAGGACATATCCTCCCTTGAATATGGTTCAAATAAAGAGTGCAGGGTCATCTCTGTGTTTTCTGTCCTTAGTCGGTCTCCAGTGACAGAAGATGGTGGGGGAGGAGTGAGGGGTGGGGGTGGGGATGAAGGGTGGGAGAGGCGCAGTAGAAGCTTGGTTGTGGGTTTACCAGTGAACTCCACTGGATTTCACAGTGGTGTAGGCTGAGAACCTGGGATCCTATACAGGAACCTTCAAACTAAACACACTAGGGGCATTGAAACTGACCAAAGATGGAGGTGAGAAAGGAAATTCTAGGTCTCAGAAAGACTTCAGTTTAGTGACAAGCCAGGATCCTGAGATGTGAGGGGAGGAGGGAGCCTGAATTCTGGGTTTGAAGAAGGGGAGCTGAAGCCTAGATTCTTAGGTTTGAGAGAGGAGGGACCTGGCTCCCAGATTTTTCTGAGTCTGAGGGAGAAGGGAGTCGGAAGGAGGAGGGGTATGGATCCAGGGCACCTTGGTTGATCCAGCTGGAGCTCTGCACACGCCTCCCTCACACCCTGTTATCTCTCCTCCTGGGCAGGGGAGGAGACAGCAGTATATTTAGTCTTTGTCCTCAACCCTTATCTCAGTGTCCTCAGTGAGGCTTGAGCAGCCCAGAGGGGACCCAACATCTAGAGACCTCCAAGGTCACCGGGGACACCCCTGTAGGACCCTCCAGGAATCTTCCATCCCCTTCTCTGCCTCTGGAGAGCAGCATGGCGGAGTAAGTGAATCTTGGTAACCTTGGATGACTGGATGGGGAACAAGGAACAGTCTTTGGGATCCATACGAAGGTTCACCTAGGTCGGATACTCGTCCTCAGAAGGTAGGCGGCAAGGGTGGTTGGATTTCCGGGTGGAAATAAGGTAAGAATTTAGGAACCAGACTCCTGGAGTCCGAGAGAGTGGAAGCTGATAACCCCAACAGGGGGATCACTGTAAATCATTGCCTCTGCACGGTTTCTCTCCCTTCAGGAGCAGCGATGCGGTGAGCGCTGTGAGCTAAGAAGTGGGGTAGGGAACCCTCGGCCCAGAGTGGGCGCGGAAGGGAGGAACTGAAGCGCGGCTGGCGGGGAAGCCTGCAGCTCTAGGTGAGGGTACCGGGAAGGACTGGGTGGGAGGGTCTGGGTAGTGATGTAGTCTGCTTCACTTCCAGGCTGGGGAGTCCCAGCCGGCGCCCGTCCCTGTCCGACGCCGCTCCTCTGCCAACTACCGAGCCTACGCCACGGAGCCACACGCCAAGGTGGAGCGGGACCCTAAAGGGCGGGGCCACCGCTGGGCGGGGCTCCTGGGTTCAGAATCTTCTGGGACCTCGGGAAGGGGCGGCACCAAGGCCTTGGAAACGGGTAGCATCACTTTGGTGACGGGCGGAGCCCGGCGGATCCGGTGCAGGTTAGGGTTGGTGACGGCTGTCTGTAGGAGGAACTCCGCTGCCTCTGCAGGCTTAGGCCGGAGCGTGGGGAGCGGGGATGGATAGGCAGTATGTAGCTCTAGTCAGAGCCCAAGACTGGTGGATAGGATCGAGGGACTTGGCTTCCGGTGGACTCAGCGTTCTGGTTGAAGAACGGATGAGCCAAGTGGGCATGCACTCTGCTAGGTGGTGGTGCCCTGCAGCCCCGCCCAATGTCCGCTTGGGACCTCTCACTGACCTTTCTCCATATCACCCCGCAGAAAAAATCTAAAATCTCCGCCTCCAGAAAACTTCAACTGAAGGTGAGGATGAGCTGGGAGGGGTAGAGCCTTGGTGGGCGGAGCATTGGAGGCGTGGTTTTATTTCTGAGTGTGTCATTCCCTGACACACACAAACACACAAATGCACAAACACGTGCTTGTATATTCTGTCTCTGAAAGATGAAGGGAATTTTTTTTTCTTATGCTTTTGGAAACGCTGTTGTCTGTTCCGACCATTCCGCAGACTCTGATGCTGCAGATTGCAAAGCAGGAAATGGAGCGTGAGGCAGAGGAGCGGCGTGGAGAGAAGGGGCGCGTTCTGAGCACTCGATGCCAGCCTTTGGAACTGGATGGGCTGGGCTTTGAAGAGCTTCAGGTATCCGCTCTTAAAGCAGATTCCTGCCGAACCTGGGACCCGAAGTTCCTCATCTCTGGCCTGGCATCCTTGGGTGTGAGGAGCACGAGCACCAACCATCTCCCATTTTGCTCCTGACCTGCAAGCCTTATGCCAAACAATACAGATAACCCTACAGTTTCAAAACTTAGTGTATTTCTCCAGTCTTTATCTGCCAGGTTTCAGAATTCTTGGCTCCTGGTGCATTTAAGTTCCCTGGAGTTCAGATTCTAATGTCACGTTCTTTCAGCCCCTCCTCTCTCAGAGTCCAGACCCCAGCACTCCTCTCTCAAACTCAGAGGTCCAGGCCCCAGCCCTCCTCCCTCAGACCAGGGAACCCAATCTCCAGCCTCCCTTTCAATATACATGTGTTCCTTCATCAGGACTTATGTCGCCAGCTTCATGCTCAGGTGGACAAAGTGGATGAAGAGAGATACGATGTGGAAGCAAAAGTCACCAAGAACATCACTGAGGTGGGAAGCTTGGGAAAGTCTAGGCACCTTCACAGTAGACTGAGGTTCCCAGGACTGTGGCTTCAGGCTGAGGGCTATGGCTGTTTGTGCTCGAGATAACTCTGAGCAGAAAGCAGACAGTGGCCAAGAAGGTTTCATCAGAGAGACAACACATGCAAGGCAGATACTGGGTAGCATAAATAGGCTGGTGGAATGTGTGATTGGAGCACTGAGTAGCAGTAAATGAGTTGAACCCCAGGTCAGGGAGTCACCATCTGCACATTGTTGTGCCGAGTTGTGTTAGAAGCTTTGATTGGCCAGTCTGGGGAATATCGGGAAGAGTTGCAGGTTGGAGGCGTTAACCTGGAGCCAGAGCTGGAAGAGAGGACAGAGCTTAGATGCTGAAAGCAAAACAGGGATGAGGGGAATTGTAGGTTAGAATTGTTGTGCTAGAAAGGTGCAGAGGGAAGCAGGGTTCCCCATGGTCACCCCCAGATCGCAGATCTGACCCAGAAGATCTATGACCTGCGTGGCAAGTTCAAGCGTCCCACCCTGCGAAGAGTGAGGATCTCTGCGGATGCCATGATGCAAGCGCTTCTGGGGACCCGGGCCAAGGAGTCCTTGGACCTGAGGGCCCACCTCAAACAAGTGAAGAAGGAGGACATTGAGAAGGTGAGTGTGGGCTAGGGTGAGGAAGGAAGATGGTCTGAGCAGCCACCGCCATGAGGTTATCAGAGAGCTGATGTGCTTGGGGTTCTAGTGAGAAGCAGCTGATAAAGGGAACTCAAGAAGTCAAAGGGAAGACAGTGCGTTAGGGAGAGAGTAGGTACAAGGAGTAGGAAGTGCAAAGAGACTGGAGGTGCATGGGGAGATGGAATACATGTGGAGGCAGGAAGTACATGTGGAGGCAGGAAGTACATGGGAGGGACAGAAGTGCCTGGGGGTGACTGGAGGTACATGGGGAGAATGGAGGAGAATGGGGAGATGGGAAGTGCTTGCAGAAAGTTTGCCAGATTGTCTGAGGGGACGAGAAGCACTTTAGAACCAGATTCTTGGATAGGCTTCCAGCATAGAATGGTCTAGCAAGCTAGAGGCCAGATAGAGGATATTCAGGGGAGAGAGGCCAGAAAGAGTCCTTAACCTTTGACCTTTCACCTCCAGGAAAACCGGGAGGTGGGAGACTGGCGCAAGAACATTGATGCACTAAGTGGAATGGAGGGCCGCAAGAAAAAGTTTGAGGGCTGAGCACATGGCTCTCACACTTTGCTCTGAGGATGTCCCTGAGGAATAAACCTCTCTACATTGGAAGTGACTATGTGTCTGCTACCCTGGGGCTTAGGCATGAGAAAGATGGGGGAAATGAGGGTTGGGTGTCTCCCAAAGCCATATGGGGGGTATAGTCATAGGCAAGTTTCTAACATGAAGTAGTCTCTTCTACAGAGGGCATAGAACATGCTAAATCCACAGAGAAACATGCTAGTGGACCCCAAAGGTGGCTCTGGGGTTAAGAGCTCTGGATGTTTTTCCAGAGGATCCAGGTTTGACTCCCAGCACCCACATGACAACTCACAACTATATATAACTCTAGTTCTAAGGGATCCTATGCCCTCTTCAGGCCTCTGCTCAGAAAAGCAAAGTATCTATGCATATTAAAATTTTTTAATTAAAAATAAAAATTTTAAAGGGTCAAGAACCCCCCCCCCCCATATAGATATATTCACAGTGAGGCAGACAGATGATGGAGACCCTGTAAGAGACAGAATCAGAAAACTAAGCCAAGTGGGGCATTGCTTTAAATGCAGCACTCAGGATGCAGAGGCAGGTGGAGGCTAGCCTCGTCTACATACTAGATTCCAGGACAGCCAGAGATACAGAGACCCTGTCTCAGAACCAAACTCAAACCAAAACCAACCAACCAATCAACCAACCAACCAACCAATCAACCAACCAACCAACCAACCAACTAACAAAACGAAATAAAACAAAACAAAACAAAAAACAAAAAAAAAAACAACCCAACCCACCCCTCCCCCACAGAAACCGAATACTAAAGAGAGGTGGGAGCAGAGAGAGACTCAGAAGATGAAGAAAGATAAGCACATAGTTTAGACACAGAGAGGCAGAGCCAAAATAATACAGAAACAACTACAGATGAATATACAAAGATTCCCCCAGAAACACACAAGGACAAAAACATGAAGAAGCTATGTTAATCCCAGCACGGGAAGTTCTAGGCTAGTCCAGCCTGAGTTCTAGGCTAGCATGGGCTACATGGAACCTGCTATGTAGGACATCTATCATTCCTTCTTTCATTTCAAATATTTTATCCTCCCTCCCCTGCAACAAAAGAAAACAAAGACTATGCAGAATTTCACAGCAGTCCAGATGAGAGAGAGAGAGACACACACAGAGAGATCAAACCCAAGAGGAGAAGAGAAAGCTGGGAACACCCACAGAAACAAATCCACAAATGGAGAGCAGAAGGCACGGGAGGGGGGCAAGGAAGCCTACTTTCGGGTGCTGGCTTCCCTAGAGTTCAAGGTCATGGCTTGGCTGGGAAGGGGGGTGGGAGGATACTAAAAAAGATCTGTGTCAGGTGGAGTGAGGAGGGGCTGGGAGGGTAAGGCTCTTCAGCCTGACACCCCATCCTCTCCCTCCTCCCCACACCTGTTTCCCAGCTTTAGCAGCCTGTTGTCACCATGGTGGAATCCTGGTGGCAGACAAAGGAGTGGGGGTGGGGAGGGGGAGACAGTTGGACAAAGAGAGGGAAGAGATGGAGAAATAGAAAAAAAGGACACAAACCATGCAGGTGGAAGCCAGAGGCAGAGGCTATAGGAGAAGTTTGAGAAAAGCCACACAGAAGTAGAAGCGGGAAGCCTCGCTTAGGCTTGCCCCCCCCCATTTTTCATTAAGCCCCCTTTCCTGTACTGTTTCCAGTCTTGGGAACTCCAAGGCACTAGGTTATTGTTGATGCTCTAAGAGAGCTTGTGGGGTGTCCTGACCTAGCCTAGACTCTAGGGTATTGCTGATGGAATCTAACAGGAATCTTGAAGCAGATGGCAGGTGTTGGACCCCAAAACTGGAGCCAGAGGGGGCAGAGGAGGCTCTGAGCATGGGGGATGGTTTCTGCACAGAGGAATCCTCACTCCCTCCTCCAGCCTGGGGCGGGGCCCAGCATCCAGCTATAAACCCAGGGGGTGCGTCATTGTCCTCAGAAGCTCCAGACTCCTGCAGCACCTGTGGATCCAGCCTTAGGTAACAGGGCTCTGAGCTCTTCACACTGATATCTTTGGGGAGTGGGCAGGACAGGAGTGGAACCATGTATGACAATAGGGGCAGAATCTCCTCCTCTTTGTTCTCCTCTTCCTCTTCCTCCTCATCTCTTCTTCCTTCTTTGAGACAGAGTCTCATTTTATAACTCAGGCCGGCCTTGAGTTGGCAGCAATCTTTCTGCCTCCTGAGTGTGAGATTGTAGGCAGCAGCAACCCAGCTAAGACTGAGCCTTTGGGAGGACTTGAGGTGGTAAGGGTGAAGGGGTAGGATTTGTGGTTTACAGAATCTGCGGGGTGCTCTTCTTAACACTGTAGAGGAAGTATTCAGAAGGCAAAGGCATGTAGCTCTCTATGAGTTCAAGTCCAGCCTGGTTTACAAAGAGTTCTGGGCTAGTCAGGGCTAAGTAGTCATACTGTCTCAAAACAAAGCAAACAACAAAACTGCAGGAGTTTCAGAGGCTGGAGGAATTTCAGAAGAGGAACTGAAGAGAGACTCAGAATCTAGAGGCTTAAGGCCAGCCTAAGAAACAGACTGAGGCCCTGTCTTGGAAAACAAAGAGATAAACAACCATTAGGAATGGTGGCACCGTTATGCAGGGTACTGTGAAAGGGACCACGAAGTTTGGGAATCTGGTCTTATTTAAGAATTTTATACTTTCAGTCTTCCATCTGGGGTCAGTAGGCTTGTGATTGAACACTCTGGGAGGCAGAAGAATCAGGACTTCAAGGTTATCCTTGGTTACATAGTTCAAGGCTTGCTAGCTTATGTTCTATGAGACCCTGTCTCAACACCACCCTTCAACCACTCCTCCCACACACACAAAATCCATACATGTTCTAGTCTGAATTGGGCACTCAGCCCAGGAGGCACTAAGATTTCTTGGTCGGTCTTACATAACAGGGGCATAAAGTTTAGATCTCAGAACCCGTGGGACTGAGCTTTGAAGCTCTCAACCTGGGGACCTCCAGCCCTGGAGAAGGAGAGTTTGGGGGAGGTAGTTAAGGTCTTTAAGGGTCAGAGTGAAGCTGCTCTTGATACACTCACACCTTGCGGAATGTAGGTGAAAGGGAAAAGAGGGACATGAGGGGAGGAATCCCAGGAAGCAAGGGGGCTATGGTAGGAGAGGAGCAGTGGTGGTAGGGAGCCCCACTTCTCCAGTTCCTTATTGGGAAATGTCCTCTGTTTTTCTGTCTGTGACATTCCCCCAAAATAGCACTGGGGTGGGGCAGCTATTGTCTTAAATCTTGTCCCTTTTCCAATATCTCCTAATCCCTACTGGGATCAGGTTCTCACGGACCTGTCACAGGACAAAAGGAGACAGCTGGGGGTGGGGGCGGGGTATGCAGGCTTGGTGTAGGACTGGGGCCTTGTCTCAATGGTCTGGTCTCATCTGCATCCCAGCCTTCCCTGCTCTGACCCAGGGGTCCAGACTCCATCACACCAGCCCTCTTCCTCAGGACCTACGACCTACAGCACTCAGCCTCCTCTCTCTGGCCTGCAGGTCACTCCAGGATGTCAGACACTGAAGAACAAGAATATGAGTGAGTGATGTCATCTGGCAGGGTTGGGGACTTGCAATGTGGAGAGATCATCCTATCCCAAGATGTCTAACTGTCTTCTCTTCCCCCTCTCTCCTTGTCCCTGTCTCTAGGGAGCAGGTGGAAGGTAAGTGGTGAGTGAGCCAACCTGGCTTGGAGGAAGCTGGCTCCTTGAGGGGAAGTGGATCAGTTCAGCACCACTTAGGGGCAGGGATGCGGGTGGGATGTTCTGAAGCTGTTCCCAGGAAACCCCAGGCAGCAGGTGGAAATAATCCCTGTTCCATCTGCAGCTGGAGCACAGCTGGAGGGTCATCTTGTTAAACCCAGTCTTCTACCCAGGACCAGGGCTTGGACCCCAGGTCTGAGGGAGGAGGACTGGAGCCTGGACTCCTAGGTCTGAGGGAGAAGGCTGAGGCCTGAAACTCCAGATCTGAGGGAGGAGGGCTGATCTGGGTATGAGATGGGGAGGACTAGGTCTAATCCCTGAGTCTCTGGTACACATTCGATGCTCCAGAGTCCTAATGTCTTTTGTGTGTTTCCCAACTCCTTCCAGATGAGGAAGCAGTGGAGGAAGAGGAAGGTGAGGCTTGAATCCCACAGGTTCTAGTAGGCCTTGGGGTGGGTGTGGGGAAAAGACATTTGGGCTGGAAGATCCTGGGTCCACTTTTTAACAGCATCTCGCTTCTCTCCCCATCCTTCTGTGCTCCTGTGTGGCTGCCCCTCCCTGCACCTCCCAATCCTCGCTTCTCCTCCTGCCCCTCCCAGCCCCCGAGGAGCCGGAGCCAGTGGCAGAGCGAGGTAACCATAGCTTCTTCGCTTCTCGGGATTGATTCGGGGTGTCTGGGGACCCCGATATCATCAGGTCCGCAATCCATCATCACCCTGGATCCTGGATAACCGGCCCGGCTCACCCTGATCCTTTAAGCTCCTAGGGCTCTGCGCCCTCTGGTGGCCGTGAAGGGAAAATGTCTTGTGTATCTTTAATCCTATTCCCTTCCTTAAAGGGAACGGTTCGTGCAAGCCTTCGTCCAATCTTGGAAGAATGCTTACTAGAAAAGTTGAGTGTTGGTGGAGAGGTGCCCCATCTCCTCTCCTTTTGGCCCCTGACCATGTATGCTATATTTCTCCCCTATATACATTCAAAGGTTGGGGCCTGAACTTTTTAATCTTACATGATGTTTTTGTTTTGTTTTTGAGACAGGATCTCACTTAGCCCAGCTGGCATCAAATTTGCAGTAACCTTCCTGCCTCAGCCTCCCGAGTGCTGGGATTACAGGTGTTCACCACCGTGCTCAGTTTTTTGTTTTTTGTTTTTCCCCCTGAGACAGTCTCCACTTGTAGTTTAAACTCGCCTGAAACTCAATAATATCCTAGGTTGGCCTTGAACTCATAGCAATTCTCCTGCCTCAGCCTTCCAAAGGCTAAGATTACAGGCATGAGCTAAGAGGAACTTGAAGTTTAGGGTACCAGTCAGAAGTGAGGATCTGTGTCCCAAAGTAACAGAGAACTAGGGACAGAGTCTAGAGGTCCCTGAAGAGAAGCAACGGAGTCCCTTTCATTGCTGGGTAGGATAGGGAAGGCAGGATGCCAGGAAGATATACTTGTTGGCAGTCCAGGAGTGTGGTCTCTTTGGCTTTCAGAAGCTGGGGAGGAGGTGTCCCCACACCAGTGCAGAATGTATATCTGATGCGAGTGATCTTCTTCCTCCCTTTTGTCCACCTCAACTTCCTTTCCCTCTCCTAATGTCCCTACCCCTACCCCCGCACTAGACTTTCGGGTCTTCCCAGGGTTTCCTCTTAAGGGTGCCAATTCTCTCTGAACCCAGCTCTTGCTAATTATCTTTTTGTATCTCCCCATTGCCACCAGAAGAAGAGCGCCCCAAGCCCAGGTGAGGTGCTACAGGGTGGGTGCGGGTCATAAGCCTGTCCTCCCATACTCCCCCTCCTGGAGAGTCAGGGCACCCAAAAGGCAGAGAAATGAGGGCTTGCAACAGGCAAGGTTAATTCTTACAGCATAAAGCTCAGGATCTCCATGGTGAAACAGGTCAGATTCAACAATAAGAGCCTAGGTTCTAGAATGGCACGTCAGGAGCTCGAGTGTGTGTGTGTGTGTGTGTGTTGTGTGTGTTGTGTGTGCGTGTGTGTGTTAGCCCAAAGCCAATCAAGGAAGGCTTCCTGAGGAAGGTGATACCTGGACCCTGATGGATAGAGACCTTGCTAGTTGAGGGAGGGCATTGGGCACATAGTAGGCAAGGAAAGCCATTTCCTACACGCAAAGTTAGTGGTTACATAAAACCCAGTCTGGGTGCAGAACCGGGTCACTGTGAGAATATGGCGAAGCCAGAGAGGCCAGTGCAGGTTGTGAAAGCTCACTGAGCTAAGAGCAGGCCTGGGGTAGTGATGTTGGAGCCAGGTCTTAGAGCCCCTAGGAGGAAGAAACACTCCCAGAGAGGTTCCAGGCTAACAGACCAGAGTGAGGGGGGTAGAGAGCTGCCAGGGAAGGGAGGGAGGAAGGACTCGAGGGCAGTGTCCAAGGGTTTCCAGGATTGACAACAAATGGAAGGTCGAGACTCCAAGTGGATGAACCGGACATATGAACAATTCAGGAAAGTCTCTGTCTCCTTGGGTCTCGGGAAAGAGTGTGAGCCTGGCACAGTGTCATGCACCCTCAGTACAGTAGGCGTGGTCATTCCAAAGGCAGCATCTGTTTGCTGATCTTTAGTCACAGCTGTTAACAGCAGTGGTAGGTGTCCTGCGCACGGCCCTTGTCTTATAGAGCCAGCAGCACGGCACTAACACAGCTGCGTAACATAAGTTACTTAGGGAAGATAAATCTCCAAAGTTTATGGAACTCAGCATGCAGGAGCCCTGGGCTCCATCCTTACCCTTGAAATAAAACTTTCAGGGCTGGAGAGGTGGCTCAGTGGTTAAGAATACCGGCTACTCTTCCAGAAGACCTGGGTTCAGTTCCTGGTTCCCACGTGATGGCTCACAAACTCTGTAACTCCAGTTCCAAGGATCTATCCCTTTTCTGGCCTTTGTGGGCACGTGGCCATATACATGTTACACAGGCAGCAGGCAAAGCCTCATACATACACAGAAAATAAAAGAAAAAGGGTTAAAAAGAAAGCAAAGTATCTACTTTTAAATGTTAAGACAGTTTTTATTTATTTTGTGTGTGAGTGTGAGAGCGCAAAGCTGTGTGTGCATGGCGCCAGTGTGGGTTCAGAGGGTGACTTACAGCGGCCAGTTCCCTCTTTCTACCACGTGGATCCCAGGGAATGGGACTCAGATCCTCAGGCTTAGGCGCTTGGCCTTTGCTTGCTGAGCTATCCCTGCCTGCTTTTAATGCAGAAAAGTCAACCCATGGCCTTATATGTTTGAGACAAGTGCTCCATCTTCAGTCACATTTCCAGCCCCTCACTGGGGAATTCTAGGCAGGGGTTCTATCACTGAGCCACACCCTAGTCCTGTTTTTACTTTTTATTTTGAGGCAGGGTCTCATAAGTTTCTGGGGATGGCTTTAGAGTCCCTCTAGGGAAGGCAGGCCTTGAACTTGCCTCAGACTCCGAAGCAGCTAGGATGACAGGTTTGTGCCACCAGGCCCTGCCCATTTATTTTATTTTTTTACTAGTTGTCAAAACAGGCAAAACAGTCTTAAATGTTTTATTCAACCAACAAATTCAGACTGAGTATGTCTCTGACTTTGGTCTCCACACAGCCTCAGGGGGCAGCTGTCACTTTGAACAGCATGTGGCAAGGTAGATGAGGGAGGACAGCCTGCTGACGATCTCTATCCATTTCTGTCTACACAGCCGTCCTGTGGTGCCTCCTTTGATCCCCCCGAAGATTCCAGAAGGGGAGCGTGTGGATTTTGATGTAAGTGACAGGTGTCCTACCCCAGACGCAGCTGCAGGATCCTTGGCGCCTTGAGCTCATTCCAACAGGTGCCCCTCTTTGCTCCCTTCTTTAAAAGCCTGGATTTATGCCAGTGCCCTGTTGTCAGCAAGGAATGCTTTGCTGACTTCTGCTGGAAGCCATCCCAGCTGGCTGTCAATCATCACCTGGGGCTGGGAGGGGCGCCTCTAGGGCCCGGTCCGGTGGCCTCATGGGCTCCCTCTTCAGGACATCCACCGGAAGCGCATGGAGAAAGACTTACTGGAGCTGCAGACGCTCATCGATGTACACTTTGAACAGAGGAAAAAGGAGGAGGAGGAGCTCATTGCGCTAAAAGACCGCATTGTGAGCGGGGAAGGCTGGGTTTTCCAGTCCCGTACAACCCCCACCCCACGCCCCGCTTCCCTCCCTTTGTTCAGTGCTTTGGGGTCTCTGGGAGAAACAGTGGGGACATTGTGTGGCTGCACTCCCATGTATATTTCTGCCAGGCATGGAGGCTGAGGCAGGAAGATTGCCACGAGTTCGAGGCCAGCCTGGGCTATATGAGACCGTCACAAAAAAGGAATAAAATGAAACAAACCATACTTATTTTGCTTGCTGCCTACTGGGGGAGGGGCTAGCCTCCGAACCCCTCTCCCAATCGTCCTCCCTTCTACCCTAGGAGAGGCGTCGCGCAGAGAGAGCTGAGCAGCAGCGCTTCAGAACGGAAAAGGAGCGAGAGCGCCAGGCCAAGCTGGCGGTGGGTGTCTATAGAAGAATTCTTCATTTCCCATGTGTGACATTCCTGCAGCTCTCAGAAAGTCCCTGTTGTGTATAGTATAGGGATTTTTCTATTGGAGGGATATATAAATAAAGTCTACTGTTATGATCACAGTGCTCGAGAAGCGGAGGCAGGAGGATTTCTGTGAATTTGAGGCTATATATGAAGTTAAAGAGTGGATCCCTCCGCGGTGGCCACAACAGTAACTCATCTTGGCTCTGAGCAGTCAACTGCCCAGGCTACGGTCTGTAGGGCCACATGGGGCGAACCCCTTTGTTCTCACAGGAAGAGAAGATGCGGAAGGAGGAGGAGGAAGCGAAGAAGCGAGCAGAGGATGACGCCAAAAAGAAGAAGGTTCTGTCCAACATGGGGGCTCATTTTGGGGGTTACCTGGTCAAGGTGAGTTTAGCCTGTGGAAGACTGGGGTCTGCGTTTACTAGGAGGGAAGGGAGACTTCAGAGTGCTGGTCCTGAGGAGGAGGACTGAGCCTGGACCCCATTCAGGGGCCGCTGTCACTTTAGATAACTTGTTGAGTAGGTGAGGGAGGCCATGTGCTGGTTGACTCTATTCCTCTTCTGTCCATAAAGCCTTCTGGTGGTGTCTGGGTGTACGGGTAGAAGACTGGGGCCTGTACTCTTGTGTCTGAGGGAGGAGGGCTGCAGGATGGATCCCTGCGATCCTTGCGACCCCTGCGTCTGAGGGATGAGGGCTGGGGGTTGGACACCTGGGTATAAGGCAGGAGGCCTGAGGCTGGACTCCTTGCATCTGGTGGAAGCACTGCCCTTGACTGAGGGGCCCTGAGTGGATTTAGCCCCCAGGTTCCAGCACTGGTTTGGGATTCCTCCCCCTCCAGGCAGAACAGAAGCGTGGGAAGCGGCAAACTGGTCGGGAGATGAAGCTCAGGATCCTGTCTGAGAGGAAGAAGCCCCTGAACATCGACTACCTTGGGGAGGATCAGCTTCGGTAGGTGCCGAGGACAATACTCTGGATCTGAGCCTTGGTGCTGGGTTACTTCAGGCAACTGGCACTTCTTTTCTGGGCCACTGTGGCTTTCTCTGTTCAAAATGTCACTCAGATGCAAGCTGTTCTGTGGCTGGCATGGCCTGTACATCTGGCATCCATGGTGCATTTAGGGGGAATTGTAGCATTCAGGAGGTGGAGGCAGGTACATCAGAAGTCCAAGGTCATCCTCTGCTGTGTATTGAGTTGGAGGCCACACTTGGGTTATAGGAGATCCTGTCTCAGAAACCAAAACTAAATACACACACACACACACACACACACACACACACACACACACACACACTAAAAACCAAACAGCTTCACTCTAGGGCTCTCAGCCATCACTTTCTTCTCTCCTTAGGGAGTCCTCCACTCCAGAAAGAAATGCAGCCTCCTATCTTTTGTTTGTTTGTTTGTTTGAGACAGGGTTTCTCTGTGTAGCCCTGGCTGTCCTGGACTTGCTTTGCAGACCAGGCTGGCCTCAGACTCCCAGAGATCTGCCTGGCTCTGCCTCCCTGAGTGCCAGGATTACAGGAATGCACTACCACGCCTGACTCAGGCTCCTATCTTAACAAGAGTGTATCAACTACACCAAACCCAAAGGGACTTGCTGCATGGCTGGGGGCAGGTACTCAACCTTTCTGGATCTCACTGCATCTCAGTCCTTCTCTTCCTGCCAGCGAGAAGGCCCAGGAGCTGTCAGAATGGATTCACCAGCTGGAATCAGAGAAATTTGACCTGATGGAGAAATTGAAGCAACAGAAATACGAGGTGGGCCATGCGTCTTCTGGGGCCCAGGCTGGGTGACGGGGCCAGGCAGGGCTGCGGCTGGGCATCCACTCCAACCTGGCTCCCTGCTCCACAGATCAATGTGCTCTACAACCGCATTAGCCATGCCCAGAAATTGTAAGTGCCCCGCCTCCACATAAGGCCCTTCTGCTCCATCTGCCAGCCCTCCTCTCCCCCACTCCGTTCCTCCCTCCCCGCCCCCACTCTGTCCCACCTTCTGGGGCTTCTGCACACAGCTGCCCTTTCGGCATCTTCTGTCTTTGTCCTTTGCTCCCTGAGACGTCCTTTTTGTATTTGTTCTTGTGGGCTTATTTATGTGTATTTCTTTGTTTAATTTATTTATTGTTTCGAGACAAAGCCTTACTTTGTAGTCCAGGCTGGCCTGGAACTCACTATGTAGCCCAGGCTGGCTTTGAACATGTAAATCTCAAGTCAGTGCAATGCTGGGATGATTGACATAGCTTACCACTCCTGACATTTTTGTTGATCTGTTTATTTTTATGGCAAGGTTTCACAGAGCCCAGACTCACTAGGTAGCTGAGGCTGGCCTTGAACTCCTGATCCTCTGGCTTTAGCCTCCTGAGTGCTGGGCTTATTGGCCTATCCTACAAATCTCTTGTTCTTCCTTATCAGCTCTTAGGTTTCAGTCTCCCTCCATCTCTCCTTCCCTCCACCTCTTTCTTTTGGGGAGTATATTTTTTTTACACATTTTTGCATCATATTTGTGTGTGGACGCATGCATGTGTGTATCTTTGTGTATGCTCCTGTGAGTGAGTGTGTGAGTGTGTGTATTATGTGTGTATGTATATGTGTGTATATGGGTGTGTGTGTTTTGAGTGTGTGTGTGTGTGTATTCTGTGTGTATGTATATGTGTGTATATGGGTGTGTGTGTTTTGAGTGTGTGTGTGTGTATTATGTGTGTATGTATATGTGTGAGTATATGTGTATATGGTTGCGTGTGCGTGTGTGTTTGAGTATGTGTGTATTTAGGTGTGTGAGTGAGTGTGTGTGAGTGTGGTATATGTGTGTGTGCCCACGGAAACCAGAAGGTTTGGACCTACTGGGGCTGAGCTACAGGTGGTTGTGCATCATCCAGCATGGCGAGTGTGCACAGAGGCCGACTTGGAAGACTTGGTTTTCTCTTTCTATCATGTGGGTCCCAGAGATGAAACTCAGTCCTTAGGTTTGGCTGCAAGCACCTTTACTTGTTGAGCCATCTCACCGGCCCTCCTTTTTCCTATCTCTTTGTTCCTCTCGCTCCTGCCTGTTTTCCTCCTCTTTATTTCTTATTATTAAGACAAGATCTCTGGTAAGCCAAAATGACGTAGAATTTCATTTTTGTTGAGGCTGTCTTTGAACTTCTGACATTTGCCGGCTTCCACCTTTCAAGTACACAGACTACAGAATCATCATGCCTGGCCTTTTTTTTTTTTTTTTTTAAGATATCCTTGCTGCAAATCCCAGGTCATCCTCAAACCCTGGGTGATCCTGCTCTGTCCTCCTCAGGGCTGAGATTTCTGTGTGTCCCATCATGCCCAGGCTTCTCGCAGCTTCCTGCTCAGCCTCTTTCTTTTCCTAGTCTTTTCTGTGCTGTTCTAGTCCTCAAGTCCTGCTGCATGTCACCACCTTCAGGTTCCCCTTCCTTCACCCTCAAGTTCTTTACTCATAAGTTTGCATGAGCTCTCTGAACTAACTCAAGAAAGTCAACTCCTACCTGGCCCCAACCACTTACTGGGCATTATCTGAAAGGGCACACAACAGGGGCATGGCCCAGTGGTAGAACCCCTGCCTAGAATCCCCCAGGGAGAAGCTAGGGGTGGGCTCAGTGGTAGAATACTTACTTAGCATATGTGAGGGCCTGACTCAGTGTTCAGTACTGCAAAAAATGACACAGCCCTGCTGCCCTTGCTCTCGTCTTCCTTTGGGTGGGGGTGAGTATTTGGTAGACTTCCTGAATTTTAAAGGCACTGTGTTAAGCTTATCTTGGAGGCACAGAGCCTCTTCCTGACTCCACCTTCTTCTCCCACAGCCGAAAGGGGGCTGGGAAGGGTCGAGTTGGAGGCCGCTGGAAGTGAGACTACCTGGACATGTCCCACTGTATGGAGCCCAGGAGCCACTGGAGCGTGTCCCATCTGTGACTAAAAATAAAGGCTCCCAGGCATCGGCTTGAGTTCTTCAGGGTTGTTATTGTGAGTGGTTGGCTGTGTGGGTTGACTGACATCTCCACGTTGTTGTCTGGGAGAATAGTCTACTGCCATTAAAGAAATTTCAAGTTCACGGCTAGAAGCATAGCTTGTCAGCACTCAAGAGACCCTGGGTTAAATCTCCAGTTCTGCTTAAACTAGATATGGTGACTGACTGTTATCCCAGCATTTTGGAGGTGGAGACAGGAGGATCAGGATTTCAAGGTCATCCTTGGCTACACAGTGAGTTCCAGACCATCCTGGGCTACATGAGACCCTGTCTCAAAAAATAATGACAACCTAAGGGTGGTGGCACATGCCTTTAATCCCAGCACTGGGGAGATGGCGGTATGTGCATCTCTGAGTGTGAGGCCAGCCTACTTACAGAGTGACTCCAGGACAGCCAGGAATAGGTAGAGAAACTCTGTCCTGAAAACAAAAACAAAAACAAACAAAACCAAACCAATACAAAACAAAAAACAAAAACCAAACCAAGCAAGCAAATAAAAAAATAAATGAATGACAATAAGCAAGTATGCTAGGAAAGGGGGAGAATGAGAAGCCAGTGGCAGGAAGAGGACTGGTACATAAATGAACATATAAGTTATGATTCTAGGGCCCAGCAGTGTGTTTCACCAATCTTTGTGAGCTGGGTTGAACTGGATCCCCAGGACCCACACGGTGGAAGGAGAGAAATCATGCCTGTAAGTTGTCCTTTGACCTCTCCGTGTGTTGGCGTACATGATCATAAATGTACAAATGAATATAATAATTAACAAAAGAGATGTGGTTCTGGAGCAGGAGAGATGGCTCTCGAGGGTTAAAAGTTCTAGCTGCTCTTCTAGAGGACTCAAGTTCAATTCCCAGCATCCATGTCAGATGGCCCCACAATAGGTTGTACCTCCACCTACAGGAGAGCCAATGCCCTTTGATGGTGTACCTGTGCACCTGCACGAAATTCATAATAAATCTTTAAAAAAGTAATGTGATTTTAGAGGTTGGGACTGAGCTCTCACTAATGATTGCAGTGTCTGGAGAACGGGTTTCTTTTTGTTCCTTAGTTGGAGGTATCATTTCAGAGGACACAACCTTTCAGGAGACTAATAATCTCAAGATATGCTTCTTGTCAATGGGTGTTTGGAGACCCAGTGTCGGTGTAATGGTAGTCACAGACAGGCCAGCCATAGGTGTCCCTGTAAAACTAATTGCCTAATTTAAAATGTTTGTGTAAGAGAATTAACCCTTTTAAGAACAGTTTTAAACAACACATCAGAGGGCTGGGTGTGTGGGGGCATATAACCCCAGAACTTGAGAGATGGGGACAATAGCCAGACCGAAACTGCCTCTCAGTAGTCTTACCCCTGCCTGTGCACTGGCGTAGCCCCTGTTTTGTGGATAATTTTATAAAGTGGTGTAGTTTTTTAAAGCGCTATTATGTGTCTTAGTAAGGTGTGCATACATGCCATGGTCAAGGGGTGGAAATTAGAAGACAGGTTTTGGAGTCAGTGCTCTCTTTCCTTGTGGGTCCCAAGGGTGGAAATATCCGACTTCATGCCTTGGAGAGGACTGATGTGTGTGTGTGCTGTTTGTGTGTGTATGGTTGTGGGGTCAGGCATCTCACATCTCAAAAACTACAGGATTATCCTTCTGGATTTATGGTCATCATTCCCCAGGCCTTGAAAGTTTTGTGTTTATTTCTCTGCACAAATCCAAGGACTAGGGAGCAAATGGGCTACTTTAGTGCCCCTTAGCTAAACGTTTGTTTTTCCTACACAAATTTCTGTTTGACGTTGGTAGGTCGGTGTTCCTGTCTCAAAATGGTTTTTATCCTTCTCAAATTGGATTTTTGGGGAAGATAATGCGAAATATCAAGGTGTTCTTATCTTTTGGATCTACTATAAAACTTTCAAACCTAATGGAGCATGACGTTTGGACTTATACAATCTCAGCATGCCAGGAGAGCAGGATACAATCTTAATTATATTTCCTAGTGCCCTGCAGCGCCAGGTGGGCTGAAGAAAAGTGTGTGGTCTTTTTGGTCATGTTTGGGAGTCCTCTTCCTGGTGTGCTCACGGGAATTCTTACCATAACAAACCGTAGGCTTTTTCTTGATCTGGAAACTGACTTCCTGGGTACCTTGCGTTCTGAGGCACAATCAAAGCTGGAGGCGTGGCCCTGAAGACTACATTTCCCAGCTTGCCCTATGTTATCTGATTTTCTTGAACTTTGCGTAGGAACTTTATGGCCGTGTTAAGAGTGGTTACCCAGATGATTGGCGGTGAGCCTTTAATCTTGTTAGAGAACTCAATTTCCCGTGGGCCGTTGGTCTCTCCGATGCCTTAGGGAGCCCATTCATTCATTCGAAATTTTTTTTTTATTGCCTACTCTCAGGCTGTTCTAATCATTGGGATTAAGGGTGCTCAAAGAAGACAAATTTTTTTCCTAGTCGAGCTTATCTATAGTTCTTTAAAACCAAAACAACCCTGGCTTGCCGGTACCCCTTAATTCCATTACTGGAGAGGCAAAAGGAGGCGGATTTCTGTGAGTTCGTGGCCATCCTGGTCTACATAGGGTGTTTCATGCCGGGCAGGGCTACACAGTGAAACACTGTCTCAAAACAAAACAAACATAAAACCCCGCAAAACCCAAAACAAACTCCTGTAATTCCAGCAATTAGGAGATGGAGGCAGGAAGATCAGAAATTTAACAACATTCTTAGTTAAAACAGTGAATTCGAGGGCCAACCTATCTCAAAACAAATCACAAAATGTATGCAACACGTGTTTCTGTATCTTTCAGGATCCGCTATCCGCCATCATCGACCATGCGCCACCGTTTAATCACTTTAATCACTTTACAAAGTACTCATTTCCCAGCATGCTCCAGTATAGCCTGTCCATCCACTATACCCAGATTCCCAGCATTCCCTGGGGACACACACTCATTTAGGCAATTTTCTTTTTGTTTCTTGGCTTTTCCAGACAGGGTTTCTCTGTGTAATTCTGGATGTCTTGGGACTCACTCTGTAGACCAGGCTGACTTCCAGCTCAGAGATTTGCCTGCCCCTGCTTCCCAAGTGAGGGGATTAAAGGTGTGCCTTTGGCAGTTAGCGTCCTTCTAGCCTGGATTTCTAAATGTGTCTCAAGGTATAGCGAATCTATATAGAATCCATTTCCCAGCACTCCTGGCGGCCTGCCTGCTGCCTCATTCCCTACCCTATCTGCGCCAGTTATGGGAGTCTCCTCAATGGGGACTCCACTTCACAGCTTTCCCTACGGGGCTTCCTTCCTCGCCCTCAACCCTCAGCGATGGTTACGCAAGTCTCCATCAGGACTCCATTTCCCAGAGGACTTTGGGTCAGCGCCATGATGTCACATACCGGGCGGAGGCCGGGCGAACCTTTGGGCGGTGCTAGGCCCTCCGCCGTTCCCGGCGGCCCCCGGGGCGGGCGGGTGGCGGCTGTTCCTCGCCCGGCGCTCGCTCGCTCGCTCGGTTGGTGGGCGGGCGGGCGGCCGGCGTGATGTCCGGCGAGGATGGCCCGGCAGCGGGACCGGGGCCGTCGGCGGCCGCTGCGGCGGCCCGTGAGCGGCGGCAGGAGCAGCTGCGGCAGTGGGGGGCGCGGGCAGGCGCTGAGCCGGGCCCCGGGGAGCGGCGCGCCCGCACTGTCCGCTTCGAGCGAGCCGCCGAGTTCCTGGCGGCCTGTGCGGGCGGCGATCTGGACGAGGCTCGCCTGATGCTTCGCGCGGCCGACCCCGGCCCCGGCCCGGACTCCGATTCCGGCCCTGCGTCGGACTCTGCAGTCCCGCCGTCTGCCCGCTCCGTGCTCGACTCCACCAACGCGGATGGCATCAGCGCCCTGCACCAGGTCAGCGTCCCTGCTCTGTGTCTTCGCCACCCAGGCATCCTCCATCCTTGGTCCCGAGGGACCTCGCTGAGAAGCCCGCCTGCTCTGTGGCCGCCCCTTCTCTGTCATCTGTGCTGTCATCTCTCTCCCGTGCATCTTTTGCAGCATTGCTTACTTCCGTTCCTACGCTGGCCAGGTTTCTCCTTTCTTGGCTGGTACTTGTTGGGCTGCGCTGCAGTCGTTCTTGAGGGTCATTCTCTTGCAATCTGATTTGACCCTCCTCTTTCTCTAGGTCCAGGTCCTTCTATCACTTCTTTGAGGGTCCACCTTGTGCCATTCTCTTCTCCCCATGACCTGTCCTATCTGTTTCGGTCTCAGGATGGTCTTTTTCCCTTCTAGACAGTGTACCACTTAGCTCCCTTGAGAGGCGCTTCTTCTGTTGGGTCATCCTATGCTATCTTTATCTTTTCTCCTACTCTCAACTCCAATGTCCTCTTAACTCAGTTCTCTCTTAATCCCGCTTTTGGGGATCTTGCCACCTCATAGAGAGGTTTCTCCTCAACTCACTTTTTCTTTGTCCACATTATTTGCCTTTCTGGAAATTTCTAAGCATTAACTCTTGAACTAGGCTACTTATCTCTCTCTCTCTCTCTTTTTTTTCCTGGTTGGTTTGTCAAGACAGGGTTTCTCTGTGTAGCTTTGGCTGTCCAGGAACTCGCCTTGTAGACTGGGCTAGCCTCGAACTCTTGTTTTTCCTGAGACAAGGTCTTGCTACGTAGCCCAGACCAGCCTCAGATGCCGGTCCTATTGTCTCTGTTCCCCTCATTTCTGGAATTACAGGCATGGCCGCGTTGCCTGTCCTTGTATCATCTCTTAGACTTTATTTGGTCAGTGTCCTTCTTCAAAACGTATGCCCTCTCTCTTAGATTTTTTTCCCTATCACCTTTCAGAGAATTCTAGAAACCATCCACTAAAACCCTGGGCATCATGATTATTTTTTTCTAGTGATCTGTGCCTGAGAATGAGGACCACCTTGTGATGCCTGCATCCTTATGGATG